CCCTCTCTCTGTCTCCCTCTCTCTGTCTCTCTCTCTGTCTCTCTCTCTCTCTCTCTCTCTCTGCAGATATTTCACAATCACAGGGTCTGAATGCGCAATGAAGACGTCTTAATAATTGAACTTTAGTGTGCAACGGGTTGCGTTAAGCGCTGTTACGTCGATCGCCCTGTTTAGGGTGCTTGAGTCAGCATAAAATCATCAACGCGCTTCTATGTCCGCAGGCATATGCACATTTCCATCGCACTATGCCTATATTCTTCCCGGAAGTGCAAGCTATAAGTTGAAGTTTTATCGCAATGGTATGAACGGTAGGTCAGCGCAGTAAGTGAAAACGAATAAACAATCAAATATTGTGTTTTATATATTAGATTAGCTCTTTAACAAAGGACATACACCGTTTTCCGAAAAAAATAATAGTTTTTGCGTAATTTGCGATTGAAATTTACTCAATTTGTTTCTCAGAAACCACTTCAAATTTTTTTCTTTAAAATTTCTGCACATTATAACCTGTCTATGAAAAATAGTGTTAGTCCCATTTTCGGGTATTGCTGTTTTTTTTCGAAAATTGCAAAAAAAATTCAAAACTACAAAATTGAAGATATAGATTTTTGCCTCAAACAAAGCCTGTTAGACAAAATTAGCTCTTTTAAAAAAGGGTCATGTACAATGTTTTGTAAAAACTAGTAGTTTGAGGTAATTTCTGCTTTAAGTTAATGAAATATATTAAAGTGTCACACCAACCACAGGTCACGAGAAAAATTGTATGGATGATTTGAAAAATAATTTAATTTTAATTATAATTTACTTTTGAAAATGCTATTAATTCTATTTTTTCTTTCTCGCACTTTTACTTTTTACTTGATTTGTTTTCTCAATGTATTGATGTATTTCTTTTTAACCAATCAGCCAAGCGTAATTGAAATTTGTGTTATAATACGGCTTTGATATTTGAGAAACGCATTGTTGATGAACATCGAGATGGTGGCTGTGATAAGATACAGCTGTTTTATTTAGTCGAGTTTGTAACCATTTCAAAAATGATTAGAAACCTATTTGATAATCCATTTTTTGCCGCGGTTATATCTCGTGCATTAAGAGAACCAGAGTTGATATTGGCAAGATTTGTACAGTGCAACTCCTAGGCAGAGAGCTAGTACTTCAGTTCGCGATGAATTTCGCAGCAGTTTTTTTAAATAAATTACTCCGCAGAATGCCAGGTGATGTATGTTATATTTATATACCATTTAATATCTGATCTGAAAAGGTTTTACTGCGTATTGAATGAAAGAAAAGGTACATTAACCGTATACGTTAACTTCAACAACGTAATGAAAACTGCCCGCGAAAGTGGTTCCATTAGGTCTTGTACCAACTTAAACCTTTTTTATGAAAACATTAGGCCGGTAAAGATCAAATTATTTCTTACAGTCTTCAGCTATGATTGTCAATTTAACGAATAAACTAGCAAAAGCATTTCTTTAATTTAAGAAGTTTTATCGCTGATCATGGTATTAAAATTGGAAGCTGACTTCGATGTAATAAAGGCAAGCGTGAGTGATTTTTGTTTCTTTGTTATGTGCTGCATTTACTACAACAGTTAAATTTATTCATGTTTGTTTTATTTGTGTAAGTAAGCGACTTCTCTTCCTGACTATCGAAATGCATGCATCACAGTCACTTCGTTAGAATTAGTTGAATTCGGCTCAAGTTGTAGCTGAGATGTTATTTAGGCAGAGATCGATTACGATATGACGTAACTATTTCCAAAAATGCCAGAGTATGTGCTGTTGAAGAGCCCCTCAAGTTTACCTTCTCGCTACTGCTTACGCTGTGCAGAGAAAGTATTGTATTGCTGCGGGAAAGACTACGATGGTTCGGCAGAAAAATTGACCATGATAACGAAAAAGTGGATAATGCAGTAAAATACTTTCTCTGACATTTGTAGCCAGAATCCATATTTAGTGGGTCCTTGATACCGAAAAGTCGATTGACGACAAAAAGTCTCTTCGCCTATCTGTGGTCAGGGCTAGCGCCTAAACCGTTCAGACATTTTTTTTCGAAAATTGATATTTCTCGATCGATCTGAGCGAACCCTACGCCCTGAGAAGTTGAAACGGATTTTCATAAATGTGACTCCGAATTGTTTTTATTAAACTTTTTCCTCAAATGGGTAAAGGGGGCGTAAAATAATTGTGCAGATCTAATTTTCGTTGAAATTACAAATTTTTCGTCGACTTTCAAACTCTTTTCGTCGACTTTCTTCAACCAGAATATTTAAGATTTAATTTTTTTGTTAATAAAATCATCAAAGAGTTTTTTAAAGAAATTATGTACATTTTTACTTTCTTGTATACGTACGTACATGAAATGCTGTGCCAAAAAACAGCGATTTTTCGACAAAAAGTGACCGAAAAATCATCTTCCCGTATTCTTTTGTTTTTTGAAAAATTACTCAATTTTTGATTTATGAGTGGAAGTGCTTCAAATGACTTCCTATACAGGTTTTCGAAAACTAAAAATATTTCTGTGAAAAAGAGCTTCAAATTTCATATTTACGCTAAGGAATAAACGCCATTTTCTTAAAAACCAGTGAAAAATTTTCTACAAAAATTTCCGTTGAGGACAAGGTTATACCCTTCCATAATATTCTTAAAGTAATATTTCGGTTCTACCATTAGGAATCCGAAAAATTGAGCAAATGTGAAAAAAAATAAATTGGGCGGCGATAATGACAACTGGCAAGAGAATGTGTGAAGACCGAAGTGCTAGCTCAGTGCTAGACTGAAGTGCTGCTTTTCTAAATTAGAAAACTGACTGAAGTCTACCTTTCCTTAGCCCAACTAGTTTCGAATATATTATTAGGTTTCGCGTAATTACGCGTGAAATACAATTTAAAAAAAATACTTTCTCAAAAACGACTCCATTTTGTTCATCTTGTGCTGTTTTTGTACGTGTCCGAATGGATGCTTTGTGTTTTGAATATGTGTCACTTACTCTCCGCTTTGTATAGCGATCAAAGAAAGAAAATGTGTGGGAATGAGGGTTTTTATCCGTTTGCAGGAGCTCAAACCACCAATGAGGGTGTTTCTGGATCCTGAGGAGGTGTCCAGTGGAGAGGAGAACCAGGATGACGCGGTAAGAACAACACCCTCTAAACACAATTTCATTTAGAAGTGTTGAGCACTCTTCTGTTTTTTCTGAAAGTCGTTAAAAAAGTTGCTACATAATAGGTTACTGATGCTGATGAAGCCAGAATTTATTATTTTGAACAGAAGACCCAACAGGTTTTCACAAAAAGAGCTGGAAAGGATCATTTCCTGAAAAACTGTCATTAAAAGAGCCCTGAAGTTTGACAAAATGCCTTTTTTGCATTACGAATTACGTAATTGTACTCAACGAATTGTTTTAATAGATTTTCATGATGTCTTTGTTGGCCTATTTTTTTCTTTTTCATCTTATTTTTGCACTTTCGCCCATTTCGTCTTCCTTTTCTTGTTTTCTCATGGCACTGATCTCGATCAAGCTGGAAACACCGGAAAGCATAAACAACACGAAGGCACGGTCATGTTTTTACTTTCTCGCTCTTAAGAAGGTACTTAAGAGAAGCATTTTTCGGCGATTTCGACTAATAAGTCATTTTCACCTTTTTACGTCATTGTTAATGCATTTTACGCTGATTTAATCGATGTCGATATTTTAATGGTATTAGCTTCAAACAAATGTTTTCCACAGAATTCCTGAGTAGCCTGTTCGATTTCTTCGCTCGTATATTGTAATGTCAGCCGTTGTGAGTACTATGTAATTTAAGGTTCCTGTGACGTCTATCGGCGCCATTGTTAGCTCGGCCGATTTCGCATTAAATAAAGACAGAGATTTTCTTTTAAAGAACAGTCCAAACCAAGTGTGGGTTTGGACTATATTAGCATTGTTTCTAATACCGTACATGAAAGAAAAATGGAGTACTATAAATTTGTAGGAACATTTTAACTTTAATTTCACATTACTACCAACGCTGCCTTGGGAAACAATGCACCGATGGGTATTTGAGAAGTTCACTGATCGGTGACAAGATAAGATAATGAAAAGTGAAATTATTTTCGTCCGCTCGTCGGTAGTCCTCTGCTTCCGGGTATCGGAACATGTTAACGGTTACCAAGACAGGTTCGCGTCGGCGTATTATTGACGCCGAAACACGGCGCATTATTGACAAAGGTTACAAAATTCGCCAGAGGCAGCAACCTCGACGGCGCGACACATTTATAAACTTTTTCAAATAATACAATTTTGAATGTAATATATATATATATATAACTGTAGAACACAGAAATAAATCAATGTTACATGACACATTTGTTGAGTCGCCACGCGTCTAACTCCTTAAGGTGAGCGCACGGTGAATGGTGTAATCCTCCGTTAATTCAAGTTTGAGTAATCCTCCGTTGAGCACTCATTTCCCTCTAGGGGCCGCTGGGTAGTCAAATCACGTCAGTCGCATTCAAGTCAGGGAATCGCCGATAGGTAGCGTCTTCGCGCGCTATCGTCTCCCTCGCGCCCTGTGTCTTACACCCATCGGTGTGAATGTGGAAGGGATAGGGGTAAGGTTTAGGACGTTATGCGTCAAATTTCACATTAATGTCTAAGGGAATTGAGCCGGGAACCTCAGTGGTGAAAGGCAAGCGACTTCGCCACAGAGCCACGACAGCAATCGCTACAGTTGTAACAAAATATACTATCACCGAACTGAAAATATGCTTTGTACTTCAATTGTCACTTCTTACGCAGTTTCGAATTGGAGACTGACCGTCGTTCTGGGCAACGCGTAACTTCCAAATCATTCTCAAATCCTGAATTCTCGGCTGTCCGGGAGACGCCGCGTCGTTGGCTGGGGTGCCGACGTTTCGCCCGACATTTCGCAGGCTTCCTCAGGGCAGTGACACTGCGGCGCTACGCGCCCGTTGATTTAAACTATCTATTCAATTCATGAATTCATGAATCTATCGAATTCATGAATTCGAGCCGCGGAAGCTTACGTACACATTCTCAAATCCAAATTCCTGCACTCATCACCCCCGGACAATCACTTTACTTTGACCAGCTCCCCAGGCTGGTGTCAATCTTGTCCAGATGATGCCCGAAATTTACCCTTCATTGTCATAAAGCAGCACCGCGTGGCTGATATGCGAATTTACCGTCTGCCACTGAGATTGGCCATATTTCGGAGCAAATTGAAATCCTGTTGTCTGTCCGCCAGTGAGCAAGCTGGGGGGGCTAAAGCGCAGCCAGATTTTCACGAAAATTGATAACCCCTACGTCGGTCCAGCTGATAAATTTGAAACGAATATTTTAATTTTAGTGAGTTTCGATATTTTCTGAAAAATAGCTCCTCATTTTTGGCATTTGTTTCACATGTAGGGAAAGGTGCGCACATTAAGATGGCGTAGTTTCGGTTTCCGTAAAAGTCTTTGCATTTTTAATATTGCCAAATTTTACATTTTTGTCGTCAACTACAATATTTAGCATATACTTTTTTCTTCGTGAAATCTTATCATGCAACGATGATCATAAGATCTTGGAAGAAGATCCTTACAATTTTTTTCAAGATGAGATCAGTTTTGCGTGGAATGAAGACAATTTTTCAAAACTGCACGGGTAAAAAGAGTACTTATAAACTTGATGAATTTTCGGAAATTTCAAAAAGTTACAATGTATGCGAGAAAGAAACTACTGTTTAAGAACCACAAGTTTTAGTTTGAACATGCCTTTTCCTTTTCACTTTTTTATATGTGAGAATTAAGATACTAACGTCATAATATTACCTAGTGTGCTTTGAAACACATCGTACACTTACTTGATAGCTGCATTGAATGCAGGTGTACCAATATCCTGGTGGAAATGAATAAGTAATAAGGTAATGAACAACTGCCGTCATAATACTTTTCATTAATTGTGTTTCTTTTTCTGCTGCAGGACCCTTTGGCCTTGGGTACTGAGCAGGGCCCTTGTGCCTTGGGCACTGAGCAGTCTGCTGGTGAGTATTAGGAAGCAAGTGTTCTGAAATGCCAGTCTCATTGTTTTAGGTAATGTCTCAGCAGTTTTCATTTAATTTACTTATAATGGAAAATACACGTGTTTGGTGCCACAACGACATCTGTGCACAAAAAGCTCAGTTTGATACAATCGCGATCATGCGACATCTTGCGGCGCGACCGAGAAAGACGCGAAATGCCGTGACACATTTCATCGTGAAGCCGAGCCTTGGCGCGCCACGTTATAAAAATCGAAGGGTAATTTTCGAATTGGCAAAAATCGGATTTCACGAGCTCCATTTGCTAGTGTTTTTGGAGATATTGAATATGATGTATGTGATTTATTTACGGAAGGTATAGTAAAATCTTTGTGACAAATGGGGAGAAGTACCATCTGCGGAAGTTTTATTGATCTCTTCCAAACCTTTCAGCATAATTGAATGATAAGCAGCTCTATTCTTTAGAAACTTCTCACACTAAGCTCCAATCTTCTTTAAACAGTTTTATTTTCGAAAAGGCACGCGAACTGCGATTTCCTCAATTCAGAATTCTCGATGGTGGTTGGAACGCTCTTGCCTCGAACCCGTTTAATTTGCGCCAGCTGTGCGCGTCGCGCGCCGACAGATGGCGAGAAGAAGAAGAAGAAGCAACGAACTTGCACTCAGTGGTCGAGCGCGTCGCTGCAAGCGACTGCTGCCGGAAGCATCCTGATGCCGACGGTTGCATGCACAAAACAGCGCACTAGGCCACGATGACGTAGTTGAAGGCGTATCATATTAAAACCAGAGGTGCTAAGACATCGTGTAATTTCTCGTGTTTGTAACGGTTACGGTTACGTATTATAACATGGGAATTTCTGTCCGTATTAACGTAACAATCACTTGAAAAACGCATTGCTAATCGTAGGGCGTTAGCCGCGGAAACAAATCCTTTTAAAGCTAATATGTCGACACAAATTTGTCTATCTAAAACTGCATTCCAGGCAGTCAGAATCTTTGTCCAAACAATGAGAGGATTTCTGAGTGTTTTCATACTGTCGGCTTTCCAACGAAGTTGCCGTTGTTTTGCGATCTGATATCTCGTGAAACACACTTCATCAAAAGAGAAGCAACAAATTCAAATTTGCAATTTCAATGATTTGCAAAAAGTACATGAAATTACTCACATTCCTCAAAAAATAACATGGATGTAGTTGAAATGCTAATATTTAGAACGCTTTATTACGTAGCAAAACGTCTGCCGTTATCATTGGAGTTTTCGAAAATAACAAACATTGGATTTGTGCCGTTTTTGTAATGCCACTTTGCGCTATTTCAAAATAAAAATTAAGAAACATTTTCCACGTTTTTGATGAAATATTTTTTGAAAATTTGAACATTTGCAATTTTGAAAATTTATTGAGTTCAACAAAAATGCGACCTGCCCTATTTTTACGCGTCTTCTTTATCCAAAGAGAATATGTGATGAAAAATAGAGCAATTTTTGAAAAATCGAAATTGTGAAGTATTCATAAAAAGAGCGACCTAAAGTCTATATATTCTTTTAAATTTACTGTCACTGCAGTTTGTCCATATTGGCGATAAAGACCAACTTTGTAGAAAATCAGCTAACGGTTTGGGCTCTAGCGTTTTCCCGACAGCCAATGTTTTGCATCTGTTGGTGCATTGGCCGCGAAATTAATTCAAATTTGGCGCCACGCATCCTACAGTTCAGTTGCGCTGAGGGTTTTACAAGAGCCCTCGTTACTATGATTTACCCAACTTACTTGCATGCGGGACGTCAATTGACAGTGCCAATTGCTAGACAAAGATTTTGGATTCCTTCAATTCGAAGAATAGTAAATAGTGTAATTCATTATTGCTTACCTTGCATTAAATGGTGGGCAAAACCAGCCTCCCAAATAACAGGTGGTCTAACTGCTTGGAGATCTACGCAGTCAAAACCACGGGAGTTCACCTCAATGGACTACTGCTGACCATTTCTAACAAAATCAGTCATTGGTAGGTGCAGGGAGCGTTTGAAGTCTTGGGTCGTGGTATTCGTCTGTCATGCCACAAAGGCGGTCCAGTTAGACATATTGGAGAACCTGACCACAAACGAATTTATAGCGCTCTGAAAAGATTCGGGTCCCGCAGGGGCTACCCCAGAATTATTTATAGCCATAATGCTAAAATATTTGTGAAAGGAAAATAAACAACTGGCTGAGCTATCAAAGATGATTAGCACACATCAGGAACACTAGATTCTCAAAAGTTTCCTCGCTATGCATATTATGACTGGACTATATCCAAAGACAATAAAAATATGTATTAATATTTGTATCGTCTTTAGATATTGGCCAGTCATATGAGTATTTTATAAATGTATTTTTTGAAAAACCTCTTAGGCCGTTAATATGCACATTTCCAGTAATCTGTACACATAATTCCATTTGCGAGTGAAAGTGCTTCTAAAGATTATAAATGAAGTTTTTCGAAATCTCAAAATATTCCTGTAAAAAGCTTCAATTTTTGCTAGAGCTTAAACGATATTTTCTTAAACACGGTTGTAGATTTTTCAACAAAAATTGCCATATAGGACGAGGTTTTATTCTTCTGTAATATTCTAAAAGTACTATTTCGGAATATTATATATTAATATTATATAATAATTTAGGAAACCGAAAAACTGATAGAACAAAACTTCAAAAAATTTGACACTTTGTGGTCTGAGGGAGAAATTTGTTCTTATAAATTGTGTGTAGATTTTGGGCACGATGCCCTTAAAATTGGAATGTAACCGATTGTCTTTTAAGGGAAAACAACCTAGTCCTTTACGTATTGAATTTTTTAGTCTGCTGTGCTCGTTTCCCATAAATATAATTCCTCATCGTTATAAACTGGTAATTTTAATTAGATAATACTACACATTTTTTGGACGAAATCGGAGTCCTCTGAACCTACGGAAACCAATGGTTTCACTTTCATCTCAATGAGAAGATAATTTTGGGGACCGTAAACACTTGTATCTCAGATAATCCAAAGTGACATGGTTTGTGCTAACAAAGTGCTTCTTTCCACAGGTGGCGAATGCGACCCTGTGGATGACCTCTCGGACTCAATGCCACAGATTCGTAATGGCGTTTGCAGCACTTCCTCGTTCGACGATGGAAACTACGTTACTCTTGGGAAAAGAAGAGCGCGAGAAAACGAGAGTCCCGTGCGCAGCAAACACTCAGAGAATGACTCGCAGTTCCCGATGGTGAATGCCGTTAAGTACGCGGACGAGCACTCCGTCGGTGTACCGAGCGAGTCAGAAAGCGGATGTGAAGTTGGGATTGAGCCGAAAGAGGAAGGTGGTAATGAACGTGAAGGTTACATGAGAAGGCACGGACGGACCCAAAGCGCTGTTCGCGCTCAACAGTGTTCTCTCTGCCAAAAGATCATTACAGATGAAAGCGATTTTTTGAATCGCACGCGGATTCGCAGTGACGGCGAACTCCCCCAAAAATCTTCCGTCTGCCGAGTGTGTTTCACTCGGAGCAGTAGTTTAGCTGATCACATGCGTATCCACAGTGCTGAACGTCCTTATGAATGCTCGATCTGTCAGAACAGGTTCACAAAGAAAGGGAATTTGGTTGAGCACATGCACATCCACGACGTTGATCGCCCTCATAAATGTTCCGTGTGCCAAAAGAGTTTCACCAAGAGCAATTCTTTATGTAGGCACATGCGGATGCACAGCGGTGAACGGCCTCATAAATGTGCCGTCTGCCATAAGAGTTTCTCAGAAAGCGGTAATTTTATTAAGCACATGCGTATCCACAACGGTGAACGCCCTCATAAATGTTCCGTCTGCCAAAAAACTTTCACAGAGAGCGGTAATTTAGTTGAGCACATGCGGATCCACACCGGTGAACGTCCTCATAAATGTTTCGTCTGCCAAAAGAGTTTCTGTCAGAGAAGTCATTTAGTTAAGCACATGCGGATTCACAGCGGTGATCGGCCTCATAAATGTTCCGTGTGCCAAAAGAGTTTTACACAGAGTGGTAGTTTAGTTATTCACATGCGTACCCATAGCGGTGAACGCCCTCATAAATGTTCCGTCTGCCAGAAGAGGTTCATAGAGAGCGGTAATTTAGTTAAGCACTTACGCATTCACAGTGGCGAACGCCCTCATAAATGTTCCGTCTGTCATAAGAGTTTCACGGAGAGCAGTGGTTTAGTTAAGCACATGCGAATCCATAGCGGTGAACGCCCTTACAAATGTTCCATCTGCCAAAGGAGTTTTACAGAGAGCGGTAGTTTGGTTCGTCACATGCGCACCCACAGTGATGAACGTCTTCACTAGTGTGGTCTGCTCTCTATGGATATCATGGAACAGATTAATTTTGATGCCTTGGAATTCACAGAAGTAAATGCTTTTTAAAATATGCCCATTAGGGTGTAAATTGTGAAAGTAGGTAAAAATGTGCTCTGTAGCGTCTGAATAATTAGATGAAATATTATTTAGTTTTCTTTGAAATATATAGGTATTGCAAAGAAATAATAATAATTAATAATAATAATAATAATAATAATAATAATAATAATAATAATAAATAATCATAAAAGCAAATGTATCAGAACCAGTTTTGCATTTGATGACTTAAACAGAATGTTCCTCTCTCCTACAAATTTGTTGCACGAGTTACAAATAATTATAGTTGAGGTTTTTCACTATTTCACAAATGTTACAGTAATTTCATAATTTTGTTGATAGTTGTTATTGACCACGACTTCCAATTTGTATGATCTCGAAGTAATGATTTCCCTGCCAATGGTAGTGTAGAAATTTCTGCGCGGTGCTCCAAGCAACTTTGCATCTATTCTGAACTTCATTGCTTGATGAATTCTCTGAGTTTCATTTGTGATTGTGATGCTTGATATAATATCTGTGCATTTATTCCAGTATTTTGTTATTACCACGCGTGGTTGACAATAAAGCTGATTTCCTCTTCTATGGAACGTATGACACCAGTGTCATACCCTTCTGGAAACCAAGCACAGAAAACATTTTTAGAAACCAAACATAGACGAATTTATGCTTCCAATAATAATCTCAATGTGAATGCTGCATGACATTTCTTCGCTTCGCAATGTTTATGAAAAGAGACCTTCTTTGTGGGGGGCAACTATTACATTCTTAATAACCGCTAGCCGTCAATTCTGACAGGAACCTATCAATTTACTCAGGAAGTTATTTAAGTGGTTGGTGATAATGAAAAGAACATTACTTTTATATTTTTAGTAACGCTGAGTACTTAGTAAGAGGACTATTGCAATAATAAAAAAACAATGGAAGGCACAAAGAACATACATAGTTTATTTTCTTCATGAAAAGGTCAATTAATCATATTCTCTGTAAAGTGAAATCAATTTAATTGATTGTATCACATACTCTTATTCGTGTAAATATTCCGTCCGTTTAATACTGAATTAAATCAGTTTGACACTTTTTTTAATTTGAATTCAATAAGCTATAAAGGTAATATGTACATATCTGGCACATAGTAAGACGTGAAGAGATACTTCTGCTTATTACTCTGTGAAAATATATTGATAGTAATCGGTTACTGCTGATTGGCACGTGTTTGAGGGGTGGCGCTCTAGTACACGTGGCAGCAAAACAGCAAGTAGACATTTCTATTGTATTTAATTTCTTAGATATATCTCGGTGTCCCACTTTGTAACTTACCACACTTATGTAGAACGTGAGGTTACAATGGTATTTTTTTCAAATTTTGACATGAATGACATGAAAATGATTTTAAAAACAACTAAAGAACTTAATACATACATCAAATAAAAAAGCATCTTTTGTTATTTAAAGTCGCAAAATATTAAATGTTTGTTACAATTACAAGAGTAAAACGTAATTAACTTTACTGATGCAAGCATTTTATCGAAAATTTTGCAAATTAATATAATCTCGAAAAACAATTTTTGAAAAAAACTAAATAATTCAATTATACTCTTCACAGAAAAAAAAGTTATAAAACTGGGACATCAAGGTCAAATTTTCCTTAAATTTGTGCGATCTGACGTGCAATGAGCCAATTCCCGAGTGTGCGCCAGCTGTCACTGGCGACGGACTGGCAATCGCTGCTTCCGAATAGCGCGAGTTTTGCAATTCCATGTTTCGTAAACGCTCTGAGAGGACTGGTATTCCCCTCTTGTTATGAGAAGTTTAATAGAAAATGCACCGAATTAATTTGGGCGTGCACATGCGAGTGTGCGAATAGGCACGAGCCGCTACTGCTAGCGGGAGTAGTTCATGTCGGGCGCGCGCGACAGATTCAAACGATCGCCGTACGCAATTTCGGATTTATCTGAGAGCCTTAAATAATAGTATTTATACTTACGAATAAGAGAGATTGTATCGAAAATAATATGAAAAAAATTGTAAAACGAACAAGTAATGTTTAATACATGTAACATTTCAATTAATGTAAAATAAATATTATTTGTTTCTGATATTTGGTTCGACGAAACAAGTTTTTTCTTCAAATTCTTTCCCGTCAATTGTGGTATGACCCGCTAAATATGCTATCGACTGATGGCATATTTAATAACTCACATATATATTTTTCTCCGATGAAATATTCATCTCTGTATTGTTCCTCATGTAAAACAAAATTAATTAGTATAATTACATCAATAAATGAAAAAAAAATCCTCTGATAAAAAAAATGAAAACTCAGTCACCCGCGCGGCAGAGAAAGTTCACCCAAAACACTTGCCAATTGAAATGCATAAGATCGCGCGTTGATGTTATCTGATATCTACGATGATAATAGTCCCGGGGGGGGGGGGGCTACGAGGTACGCCAGCGCGAGCAACTAAGAGCTTTTAACGTTTTTATATTATTTACATTGTCTAAGGCATTAGTTATCTCTGTGTATGAAAATTGACTACCTAATAGGAATTCATTAGTTTCACACGTCAAAAGGCTAGGGCAGTTATCCTAAAGTAAGCCTGGACAGATTTTATTACTCCCAACTTTCATGTTTTCAAGTATTTTCTCTTAATTAAAATCTGGAATATTAGAAGGTTAACTAAGATTTTTAAACATTTTATTCTGTCGCAGATGTAGAAAATATGTCACTATTTCTATTAAGTGAACTACAAAATTTTTTCAAGTTCTTAGATTTCTCATCTTGAATAATGAATCTAGCATTTTCTGCCTTTTTTAAAAATTCTATGAAGTTATGTTTGTAGAAAGAATTGCGAAGAACAGCAAGAGCTTGTTTTCTATCTTTAATGACTTGTTCGCCGTTTTTATTCCACCATGGATAAAGAATGCGTTTTGGGTATTGTGGTGTAGAGAAGTAATTGTTCTCAACATTTGGTGTGGAGGATATAATAACTTCATGAATAATCTCAAATAGTATTTCATATCTTTGAATTACATTATAATTCAAAAGTTTCATAATATTAAAAACATGACACTTAGCAATCACAAGTCTATTAAATATTGTACTTCCCAATCAGTCGTCTTTAAGTTATATTTAAAAGCCTTAATGGACGATTTCTCACAAACCAGTTCTATGTTAATGATGATAGGGAAGATGTCACTTCCCCAATTGTCATCATTTACTGTCCTCGAGGAATAGAAAGCTAGATTAAAAGAAACAAATGTAAAGTCAAATTAGATGACGTTCCATATGAATTAGTTACACGTAGAACTGCCATTGAGTAGAAACATACCTCAGGATCAAAGTTGTCAAAAATAATTTCACAATTTGGGCAGTGTCTCATGCTCCCCCAGGAAACATGATGTGAATTAAAATCGCCTCCTATGACACAGCTCTCGTGTGTGGAAACTTCATTAATAAAGGAAATCCATTCTGATTTATTAAAATCAGATGTTGGTGAAGCAATCACGAATAGAACCATCCATAGAATCTACTGCACCAACTTCTAAGGACTTGGGATTGAATTTAAAATCAACCACATTGGAGGCTAATCCTTTCCAAACAAGGGCCACCAAACCACCCCCTTGTTTATTTAGACAAGGAGAGACGCGAAGTATCGTATGATCGAGCTCCATTTTTCCTCCACCGCTCAGAAATCTGATACGTCCGGTAATATACAGAACGCAATCGAGGTTATGGAAGTGCAATGCTTGCGATTATAGAGCTGTTTTAAGTGCCACCCGCTAAAGGAAATCTTCACATTTTTTAAATTAAACCCATATATCAGACGGTGATACTTTGTTGCAATTATTACTCGTACTAACCCTAAAAAAAGTATGTGAATACAACTCAACGGCCTTCCACTAATGCACAATCATTTAGAACGGGGTGATAGAAAGATGGCGACAAGCATAGGCATTGCCAATCTAAGCCTATATATCTGAGTCAGAATCCATATAGACGTCAGTATCGTTTAAACGAAGACTTTCTGTAAAATAGATATTCCCCGATACATCTGAATACACTCCTAAAGCCCCGCGAGTTTGAAAAGGTTATTGGATTTTGAAAATACTTGACGTGAATACTTAAAATGTTCAAAAAAAAATGTCTCCATTTTTTAAAATTTAACTTAGCCATCGGATAGCGTAGAGAACGCTTAGATAATGTACTTAAGCTTCCGGGTCAATGACCCCATCTCGATCAGGTTTTTGTCGTTTCCCTGATACATTGAGCAAATGCTGAGATGGCCCTTTGTTTTGCTTCTGTAGCTTCTCTACGCGCTCGTTTTGTTGAACTCTTCTTTTGCTTGTAATGGTAAAAGTAGAGATAAATGCGAGTTGCTATGTTTTTAGCAATGTAGAAAACTCTTATTTGCAATTCGTGTACCGATGCAAATAAGTTTTCTACAACTCAGAAACGAAAATGACTATTTTTCAATTATTGCTTATCTTGCGATTTCAGAAATTTATTTTTTTATGTTAAACTTTTACTCATCTTTCAACTATTTATAGTTGACATGACGGGAAGGGATTATGGAATTCAAGAAAACGTGCGCTGATAATCTTTTCCCCCCTACGTCACATACAGTTTTTATTTATTTATTTATTTATTTATTTATTGAGTGAATAAATTTAAATCTGAGAAAACAAAGAATACTAAAGGAACTCACGAACGTAACCAACAGCAATAAGATTCACTCTTCCGGTATGTGGAAAACGAATGCAGGCTGGATGTGACGTAAAAAAAACAGGAACCATTAGCCAATCATTATTTGATATATTCTTTCAACTAGCGCTCTAAGTGGCCTGGCAATGGGTTGCCAATTTCCCTATCGGACCTTCACCCCTGTGCGTACAACTATTACTACGTTTCAGGACATTTCGGTGATAGCCGCGCAACTTTTTCCATTCTTCTTTGGCATCTAAACTCATTGAAACATCACAAGATCTTTTCTGAAACTATTTCGCTGTTTGATTTAATCGTTTAAAACTTATCTCGTGATATTGCAATGTGTATGCGCCTGTGCATTAATTTATTTGCCTAGTAATGAATATGTGAAACAAATTACTGATTCTCCACTTGAAAACAAATATTGTATCAAATTATACAATTGCATGAACCTTTTTATGTTGGCAGTACATCAACCATTGCAACGAAAAAAAATGCTGTGAAGTAGTGAACAACGATAAGTGTTAGCAGTACGAAAAAATACCCCAAAAACAAATAGAAATTGAAAGCTGAGGATATGTTTTTTGATATGCAAGGTCATTTCTTACGAAATATAAAAGAAAATAATCCGATAAAATGTACAAAGATCAATACTTATTTTATTGAATTGTTATGAAAATTGCTTATTGATGTAATAGTTTGAATTGTTAAAGAATCATCTTATATTATTATTGTTAAAATTATGCAGTTAAGCTGCTGCCTAAACGAAACATGGCGTTGGTATTTAAATCAACAAAAAGCTATTTGTAAATACATGAAAGTTAATTATATTTCTAAATGTATTCATTACTTCCACTTAATTCTTCAAATAGTCTTCCACGTGTCATCCTTCCACTTAATATTTTTGTATTGTTCATAACTTGTTTCGTACAAATTCGGATAATTTTTCACACACTATTAATTTTTCTACATTTATCTCTGCTGCCCGAAATTTCACTCCACAAAAATCTCAAACATCTCGCTTTTCACCTGCTTCACACCACGATCGCGCTAATCCAAGTGTTTAAACCTTAGATAAGCCCAGGGAGAATAGAGAACCTAAAACATGGGAGGAAAATGAGAGAACTGAAATATGTACGAGAAAACTCGCTCGCTGACCGACTCCAGCGAAAAAATCTTGCGCCTCCGCAGATGTTAACGATAAAACTCTTTCAGTGTGTGCGGGTCGATAAACGCACCTTGTTTTGATTTTGCTCTTTTTTCGTCACACAGTTTTGGAAAATGTGTGGAGCCGCCTTTAGGCCTGCAACATGCATCGAGGAATGTGGTTTTGGAAACACAGTCCTCGATGCCTGCAACATGTTGCGGGCCTAAAGGCGGCTCCTCACATTCGGCATTCGCCGAGTAGTGAGCTCCTCCCGAGCAGTAAGCTCGCCCAATTCTGAGAAGCTGATGTGTTCGGTGAATATTCGCTCTCTTTGGTGTGTCCTAAAGACCGACACGCGGTGGGTAGGGCGAATACCGAATGTTCGGCGCTCGGAGAATCGCAAGCAACCCGCCCACACTACTCGGGATTCGCCGATTGCCGCATCTGTGGAGCTGTCTTAAGGAAGGTTAAGTATTCCTCATTCGCCAGAGGGTTAACCAGCTTTGGTTAAGGAAACTTGTTACGACAAAACGAGTTTGCATGCTTCACAGGGACTAGTCCAACACCTGTGAAGTGCCCTAAACCCTGCCCGAATCCTAATTCCTTCCGAATTCTGGCCGCTGAGTAGTAACGCAGGGACACGTAGTAGGAGGGGTGTACGCGGAGATGCTATCTGACTGTCCTCTCGACAACTGCGACGAGACGTGACATTTAATAACAGATAATTTAATGGAGGATGACTCCTACAAATATAGCGCGATTATTAATTGAGGATTACTACGAAAACGCAAAGCCCACAACGCCCCCCGGGGACTTGGGGGCGCGTTACGTCAATTGAAGACGCAACATTTATATCAAAGACGCTGATAATCCATTGGAAATATTCAACTAAGAACAATTTAGGTGGCATCCGTTTCGTAAACGACTGTCGTAAATTTTCGTTTCTCTCATCGATGAAAGAAGAAATGTAACAGGGGCTTAGCGAACGCTCCTCTTTATCATGCTAATAGCATTTAGATTTTACGCAAATTCTTTTAGGTTCGTTCTATAAGATTGCAAGATATTTCATGTTTGTAGTATCTTCCACATAATTTTATTGTAG